TCCTGGTTTGATACCGGTGGTCAAACGATGGGACCAGGATGATGGCATAAAGGGCGTTGCACACATATTATCACAGTATGCCATTTATTTCGCGCAAGTTCCGTCGAAAAAAATGATTGTGCACAGGCTAGGCCCAAAGATCCTATAGCGCCGCATATGTGAATATACGTACCGAATATATGCTTCAATTAACTGAATATCATCTTAAAAATGCAACCTGATTTCAAACAAAATTATGATGAAAACTTGTTGTCAAGTTGTTGACTTTTTTAATCACGATAAGCTATGCGGAGATTCACGTGAGGGCGTCCTGAACACCGCGACTCAGCACTCTAAAATGGCGGCGGCTTGGCTCCGTTACAAACATGAACACGGCTTTTGTGTTCCGTAACTTGAAAAAGTACACGAGTGATTTGGATGATTCTTAAACATACAAGACCAAATTAAATTTGGTCTTGAATGACAAGTTTTGGTTGAATTTAGCAGTATGATGGTACATTTGCTGGAGTTTAATTTCATTCCCCAGTATTTTTGGTTGTGGGTGTTCGACAATAGCTCGAAATCCGATATTTTGTCCTCATGCGAAAAGGGGGAGGGGGGGTCGATTTAATAGCCGATTACCCTTGTCAAAAAGTGTTGGGGGTTACATACCCCCGTCCCCCGGGATTTTCGCCCCTGGTCTTGGGCCACTTTCCTTGAAACGGAGTGAAACACACAAAGGATGGGTCATTATGGTTCACTTTATCATTTGAATAAAGGATTTTTGGAAGAACAGGAGATATAATTTCGGACAAAAATGGCTTCAGTGGTTTTTCAAGTCCTGTTATGCTCTACTATCTTTTGAACGAAACATCTTATAAGGAAACCAACTAAAAAGCATGGGGAACGGTCCTCAGCAACAATATTAGACATCAAGTTTGAATACTGCCCCACCTTTTAAAAACATGCCCGATTCGAAGTTATATTATTTTGTGGGACAGACAACCTGTACACAATTTCTTCCGCCCAATTTAAACATGTAAAACAGCAGTCCTGAAGTTTGCAAAAAATGGGGTGAGCAGACTATCCACCGCTGTTCCAGAGGCTAAGATTTGCTTGGTCCCCTTCCCCCCTCCCCCCCCCCCCCCCGCCCGCCCGCCAGCGAATTTTTTTTCTCCCAAACGTCATCCGCATGCATGGTTGTTTAGCGCCTTTTACAATACTTTCACGATACACACGCAGGTATATAATTATTTGTTTCCTTGGTTGGTTTACTGAACACGGAGCTAGTGTGGTTTTCGCGATTCAATTGCACAAAAACACAGTGATACGCCAGACGACGAAAAATCCAAAGAAACGTAAACGTGAACGTTATTTTCGTTCCGATTGAGACACTGATAAAACGTGGCAAACAAATTAGTTTTTTTTCGGAGGTGTTTTTTTCATCAAGTGTCTTGGCAAAATTTCACAGTCCTATCTGATAAAAAAAAAATGTGGTCCTTTTTCTGTGGATTTATTGTTATATCTCCAATATCAAAAACTTATTTGTAAGATGAAAAAATGATTGAAAAGACGTCTTCCGGTGAGACGTTTTTACCCCAAAAGAGACTGGATTCAATTCGGCCACAAGAGGGCGTGTTGTACGAGCAAAAGCACGGACATGCGCACAAACCTAATGTTGCCATGAAAACAGCGGTGGATTTGGTCAGTATCAATTCAGGGCATAAATGATTAAAGTGCGCATGCGCAAAATATACCGCCCCTAAAGTGGTAACAAGCATTTTGATAGACATTTAAAACAAAACCAGGGTGATAGCGCCCTAAAAGCTGCCACCGCTGCAATGCTATCACATATTTTCCAACTCTGGAGGTGTATACATTGCCAAAATTCGCTACTTCTTTTGTCTTTTTGATTCGTTACCGGTGGCCAAGCGCTAGGACCAGGCTGATGGCCTAAAGGGCGTTGCACACATAATGATCACAGTATGCCATTTATTTCGCGCAAGTTCCATCGAAAAAATGATTGTGCACAGGCTAGGCCCAAAGATCCTATAGCGCCGCATATGTGAATATACGTACCGAATATATGCTTCAATTAATTGAATATCATCTTAAGAATGCAACCTGATTTCCCACAAAATTATGATGGAAACTTGTTGTCAAGTTGTTGACTTTTTTAATCACGATAAGCTGTGCGGAAATTCACGTGAGGGCGTCCTGAACACTGCGACTCAGCACTCTAAAATTCTGGCGGCTCGGCTCCATGACGAACATAAACATGGCATTTGTGTTAAATTCCGTAACTTGAAAAAGTACATGAGCACGGAAGTGCCATTCAATAGGTATGAATATATTTTTTTGGTACATGTGAAAATATTTTTTGTACAGCGGCCGCCACTTATTTTCTGGCTGCTTGCACTTATTAAAAGTACAAGAAAGCGGAGCTTCTGACCCCAATAGAGCAAAGAAGAGGGTGAAAAGGCAAAGGTGGCTGATGGGGTGGTGGTGGGTTCAGTTTTATGGGCAAACAAAAATGCCTCTTCCCCGGTCAGAGGTGGAATCGAGAATGACGCGCCGCCAAACTATTGCGTGCTATCTACATGTACGCCAAAGAACTTTCCACCAATGACCACCAGTTATTCGCGCATTTAGCGTGTGACGTAATCGTAAACTCGAGGTGTCCGCGCGTCCATAAACACGATTAAACTGCGCTTAATCGTCATTTATAGTCAATGGTATGGGTTTCTAATAGATTAGTGGGGTTTTCTTTCCAGGCCAACCGTCCCAAAAAGTGCACCGCTGCCGAAAGTCCGCTATAAGGGGTCCCATAAAAGCACGTCTTTTTCTCAGTTTCTTTATTAAACAAATGAAGATCGAAGATAATTGGACTTTGGCAAAACTTAATAAATGTCCGTCAGTTTCATTTTAACGCATTCAGCAGGGCAGTCTTTCCCCTAACTCAAATTAAAATATAATTTGGAGAGTCATTCTTGATATAAGACATCATTATGTCCCGAACAAAATTTAATCTAAAGGGGAAATGGTGAACTTTTGACATGTTTGACATGTAATTTACGATATTTGAAAATAATAGTTGTCTTTTTGGGGTTGGATGTCTAATCATAACAAATCCGTTAAAGATATTTCCAAAAACAAAACTTCCTCCAAATGTCCACGTTTTCTGAACATCAATTTTTTCATACAAAGCACAATATTGAACTACCTTTTGTTCTGCACCTCCACCTTTCAATCACAACCATGTCATATTAATCTACGCGCAAAGGACAGACGCAAGGATGCACAACACTTTAAGTACATTTTGAACCAAAAGTGCACTTTCAATGCATGTATTTTAAGCAGGGCCAAACTGTACACCCTGGGTAAAGTTTTTACATTTTGTACAATTACTTTTGTTTTAATTTTATGTAATAGGGCATGATCGAGATTCGTACATAGGTTAAATTGTGTGGTGAATAAAATAAAATCTCTGCTTTGCAGTGTAGGGATGCAACCCTGCAAATAAGTTTCCATAGACTAGTGCTAAATGCCCATACTTCAAAATTCTTTTAAAAATACTCAGAACTCTCACAGGTATTCAAGCTGCACAGAAAAATGATGATCAACATATGTCATCTTTTGTTTTCTTTTCATTTTTGGTGAGTTGACCATTGACTTTTCGAGATATTCTCACCCAATGAAGACGACCCCTATTTTCCCCAAAGCGGACAAGTAGCCATCTTGAAAAATGATCCCTCCACAACATGGCAAAATAGCACCACTTTCGAGCCTCAAAATTGGAAGCCCCAAGTCCAGGCCAGAGGTTCATTACCATATCTCTTCAATTCCCCAATTTTACGGCGCTCAGAACTCTCTAATATAGAATATTTTGAGGGTATAACTTTTATTCATGAGCTCGGCGGATGGATTTAGGGCCTATTTACCGGTGTGCACCCGTAGGCAAATTTTGTGTCTCCTTACAATAGATAGGTCAAGATATGTAGAAAACACTGTATTTAAAATAATGATTTGAGCTAATCTGCGTATTTTTGCGCAAAATGTGTTACTTTTTCAGTATCTATATATGAAGCTTCATTGACACCTCATTTGATAGTATTAAGCAAATTCATGAGGAGATAGGGATATAAGTTTGATCGATAATGGCGGATTCTGATTTGCATATTATGCATAACATAAATAAATTATTGAAAAACAGTATTAATATTTGTTTACCCCCAAACATGATGGGCACCTCCAAGTTTGGATGAACTCTTGTAGAGATTAATGCAAAACTTATTTTATATTTTATTGTTTAAAGGGAATGTACAACATTTGCTTTTGCTTCAATTTTTAGAAATAAATGGATTTGGAGGACTGGTATGTTATAGAAAATATTGTTGAACGGACTTGTTTCACGTTTTGGGCTTGTAGATGCTGGAAAAACCAAGAAAACCTATCATATACTTGCCGTCTGGTTCCCTGACCCCACTTAAGATGAAACAGAGCAATGGGAATTGTAAGGTCAGAGAATCAGTCTAGCAGGGCCAAGCAGGCTTGTAGCCCTTCACAGGTGTGTAATCAATTGCAAAGAAAAGTCAGAATAACTAAAAATGAAAAATTAAAAACAGTTTTGAAAAAAGCCAGTTTTCTCCAATGCTGGTCGGCCGACCAGTGTTGGAAAAATAAAACTTTTCTTGAAAACGTCAACACACCAGGAGCAACGATTTTGCAGGATGCTTTAGACTCTCAGTCCCTAACAATTCAGTAAGGGTTTTCGTGATAATTTAATCGTTTCGTTTTATGTTTGCAAATGTTGCATTTTCCCTTTAAAAAAGAAATGCTCAAGGGTGCCAAGGTGGCACCCGTCGGAATATTGATCTACAATGTCCAAATGACAAGAAAATGCAAAAACATTCCTGTAAGTGACAGGTTGAGTGCGCGCAGGCTTACCTTTAAGCATGCGCGCGCGGGCTTGCCTTCCTGAAGATCGTGTCGAGTCATCACCACCATTCTCATATTGTGGCATGGATTGTTTTGGTCCCTTCATCACCAAGCAAGGTCGAAAGGAGTTCAAGAGGTACGGGCTGTTGTTCACTTGCTTAAGTTCCAGGGCAGTTCATGTTGAGATGATAGATGATCTCTCCAGTGACGCATTTATCAACGGGCTGCGATGCTTCATTGCCGTCCGAGGAAAAGTTCGCCAAATCAGGTCGGACCAAGGCAACAACTTTGTTGGCGCCAAGAATGAACTCATTCTGAAGGAGCTAAATGTTGAAAGAATTACATCCTACTTGGCAGAGCAGGACTGCTGCTTTCTAATGAATGTTCCCTGTGCCAGCCACGTTGGAGGAGTGTGGGAACGTCAGATAAGGACCATAAGAAGTGTCCTTAGTGGAGTAGTTGCGCTTTGTCCTGGGAGGCTGGATGATTCATCGCTCCGCACTCTGTTCTATGAAGCCATGGCCATTGTAAACAGCCGTCCCCTATCAGTCGAGACAATCAATGATCCAATGAGTTTGGAACCCCTGACGCCAAACCACATCCTCACCATGAAGTCTAGCGTGCCACTGCCACCTCCAGGTAAATTTGTACCGCAGGATATGTACCTCAGGAAGAGATGGAGAAGAGTACAATACCTCACGGAGCAGTTTTGGAGTAGATGGCGCAAAGAGTATCTCCAGAACCTTAATCGGAGGCAGTGTTGGACCAAACCTAGAAGAAACATCAAGGTTGGAGACATCGTCCTCTTATTGGAACCAGACGTGGCTCGGAACAAGTGGCCTTTGGGTGTCGTAGTTAAGACTACCGCTGCCAAGGATGGCCTAGTGAGGAAAGTCCAGATCCAAGTTGGAACAAAGAAGCTGAGTCAGCAAGGCAAGCGCGAAAACAAGCTAGCCTTTCTGGAGCGCCCAGTGCAGAAGCTGGTACTCCTCTTAGAGAGCACCTGACTTTAGAGAGCACCTGACTTGTTTTATCACAGTTCGTTGTTTGTAGCCTTTGGTTGCTAATTGTTACTGCAGTTGTTAAATAGCATTTAATTACTAATGATTTATTATCACTATTAGTGTATGAGTATTCTGAATTATAAATCACATGAGTAATTGGTGGGAGTGTAAGTGACAGGTTGAGTGCGCGCGGGCTTACCTTTAAGCATGCGCGCGCGGGCTTGCCTCCAAATATGCGCGCAGGTTGTTTTACGATGCGCACACTGAACATTCCATATGATGCGCGTTCGTGTACGTTATTTTCACTTTCACTTTCACTTCATGATCCTACAGAGTGTTACATAATCGCTAGCTACTTATTTTTTCATCTAATCGACTGCTTTAGGTAAGAAAATGCTCCTTTCTGTTATGTTATACAAATGAGCCATATACCTTGCGTTATTTCTTATTATTTCTTAGTCCTTTGCTATTATAATATTTATAGATCTAGGACATTTAAGAGTTTTGTTATTTGTATTCTCATTCAGCTTAGGCCACAGAGTATCCTGCCGATTTACCACAGCCTCATATACATGTACGCTGGTCTGAAGGCGTAAACGGTATGATATTTGCTATTTCAATTACTTTATATTAGCTACTTTATATTAATGCCTATCTCAGTATTTTGTTAGAGCGCAGACACGTCGTACTGGTTAAGAGAGTATATGCGCTCACATTTATTCATTTCATACGAGTGGTTGCTTATATAGTCAATTGATTTCATTGTAATTCTCTAATTGATTGGTGCTCATTGAACTCTATATCTGTATCTATCTTCTTTCAGTTTTCACGGTGATTCAATAAATGCCAGTAATCATCAGTAAGAATCCGTTGCATCATTCATGACCAGCCCCCTAAAGCGCTTCAGCGCGCCTACAATTCCATCTAAAAAAATCCTGGATCCGCGCCTGATTATCATTATCGAGGGTTGATTATCATTATCGAGGGGCTTCCACCGTGCGCGCGTCACGGCCGATGGCATCTTTATAGCCCGCCAGTCGACCAGCAAGGTAGCTAGCCTGATCAGGGGATGCTTCGTGGACTTGCGGGCGGCGTACGACCACCTACACCACCCCACCCTGTGGAAGATGCTGCGTGTGAGGCTAGGCAAGGAGGCGGAAAAGATCGTGGGCATCATCGAGGCGACCTATGAGCAATCGGAGGCCAACCTTGACGGCGCGCCCAGCCCCGTGCCGATCCACAAGGAGCCGTGGAGTCGTGTGTGCTATTCAACTATGCGATCGAGCTCTTGCACTACACCAGATCGAGTGCAAGTACCCGGGGCAGGAGTGCAACACTGATATGACATCACCAACAAGTGTACAAACAGGATGCAGCAGGCGGAACATGCTGCGAGGGGCGAGGCTGTGACCATCGTGTTCACCTACACTGATGACATACTTATGCTGGGACAAACACGCGAGGAGTTGCAGGGCATGATGAATGTCATTTACCTGACGTTCAAGAACTATGGGCTCACCGTGGCAGGGGACAAGACGGTCAGCATGTCCTGGAACACGCCTGAGGAGACGCGCAACAGCAAGAGCTTGATCACAGTCAGAGGGGAGGACCTGGGCAATGTCCGGACCTTCAAGTACCTCGGGCACGTGCTAGCCGACGACCCAAACAAGCTGCAACACATCACCCAGCAGATCAGCTCTGCATGGGCAAAGTGGGCGGAAATAAAGGACGTCCTGACGGACAAGGAGGTGAAGATGACAACACGGGTCCGGATGCTGGAGGCGATGGTGCGCAGCAGACTAGTCTATGCAGTGCAAACCGAACGACTCCGAGCCTCCGAACGAGACAAGCTTGACAGCCTGTGGATGAATTTCTGCAGGAAGCTAGTCAAAGGCAGGTTCAGCAAGAAGAAGAACATGGACGGTGAGGACACCTACGTGTACAAGTATAACGCCAGCGAGATACTGAAAATCTGCCGGACATCCCGAGCGAGCGAGTTTTGTCTAAAACAGCACGTCAAGTACATGGCGCACATTACTCGCATGCCCAACTCAAGCGAGCAGAAACAGTGGCTGTTCACCAAGGCTGTGCATAAATACACCCAGAACCAGTGGATAGCCCTCGGCCAGGACCTAGGCGGACTGGACGAAATGCACGTTAGGCGCATGCTCTTCAACTGGAAAGAGCTCAATGCGTGGCTTCGGCGCCACGAATCACAATGGACGTAAAACGACTGCAAGTGACAACACCTATGATGATGATGATTGAATATTTAGGGAGCAAACTCACCGCAAATCCAAAATGTCTTGGGAGGTTTTGGATCTCAATCTTGAAGATCTCTGAGGTGAAGTGCTGTTGCATCAGATAGTGATAAGGATCCGTTATGGCAGCACCAGTCACCGTACGTCTTGTGGGTCAAGACCTGATGCACAAATGAACAGATTAAAAAAATTAATCTGGCTAGAGCTATATTGTCTAGGTCTTCACCCATGACAATTACATGGGAACAATGTGACGATAGCCGTAGCCATAGCTCTAGAAGCCCGTTTCAGACACAGCCTAATAAGTAACAGATCAACAAAGTTGCAAGTTATGCATTAGGAGCATCTGATTCCAAATGTATACCAATCTTTGTGCATACATGTTGGGGTTTGAACCCCGGACAACTACAAAGTCAGCCAAGTAGCATCACAACTCAGTTGATAAGCGGCGGCGCCACCACATAATAAGTGGCGGCCACCACATAATAAGTGGCTGCCAGATAATAAGTGGCGGCCGCCACATAATAAGTGGCGGCCGCCACATAATAAGTGGGTGGCCGCTGTACAATATTTTCACACGTACCAAAAAAATATATTATATATTATTGAGTGGCACTATTCGTCTTCCGTTTGGGTACCTAGTTCCAGTTTTCAACCTTTCTTGGGTAAAATTAACCCAGGCAATTTTTCAGTATATTCTCCCTCCTCATGCTAATGTATTTCTTCTGTTTACACAAAGGTAAGTTTGCTGATGCTGCGAGTATGGCACTTTGAGTGTCAGACAGTCTGAGATACATGCAGTCGAAATGTTCTCTTTGAAGGCATCTGTGATACGGTCACAGTCCGCGTTTGATACCTTATTTTCACTCGTAGGTAAATCAGGGAGGTTAGAATTGTCATGAGCAACATGCGTATCTCAATGTCAACGGTGAAAGGTCAAATCGAGGAAAAGTTTAGGGTCATTGAGTGAGTACCAACATGGGCAAGAAAAAAAAAACGAGAGAACATCCATGCATGCTGATAAACATTGCAATTCGAGTACATTATACACTCTTTTAACGGAAATGAATTAAAACACATGTACATTATTCACAGCTTTGAACATACATTTTGTTGAATTGCAATTTGGAAAACACATTTTTATTTTAAAACCAACAACATCGCTAGGAAATCAGACGAAATACTGTTACAACTTATAGAGAAATTCCTCAAACTAAAATGATGGTCGGATTCTTAGGCCAACACGGTTAAGAAGATAAATAGATTCATATCCCTAATACCATTATCACCATACTAAGCTTTGCTTAAAGGAAACATGCAGTAGGATTTTTATGACTTAAAAACATTTAAAAAACTTTCTTGTCATGTAACTATGAATTTCCTTTTTTGTTGCAGTACAAGGGAGAAGTTTCAACATTTGAGTTTAATGCTAATGAATATTTCCATATTCATGAGCCAAAACGTGATGTCATTCAAGGCAAACCAGTAGTGTCTCTGTAGCTTTGTGTACACATTTATATACATGTACATATAACTTCTCTTCAGTTTTTGGGAGTAAGTTCCACTTCTTACTTGTTTAACATGTTAAACAGCTTGTTTGGACAATAGAAGTGGCAAATATTTCTTCAAAACTTTATTTTGTGGGTAATTTTGAAGGATAATTTTTGTACTGTTCATATGCACTTTTGACTAGGAGCACCTTGTGTGACAAAAGCAAAATAGCGCCCTCTTACATAAATTGATGGAAGGATTTGCTCAATAATTGAAAAAATACCACTTTTTTGTCACTTTTTTTCCAATGAAAACAAGTATTCAGATCTTGCATGTATTGTTGCAACACATAGTAATGAGCATGAAAAGAAGATGAGCTGAATTTCCACTGCATGTCTCCTTTAACGAAAGACTTGATCACTTCAAAGACAATTTGAAACCCATACTACCGATAATGATGAAACATGCTACTTTAAAAAATAATAATTTTCAAATACAACGATCGTAGGATTTGTAGGCTAACACAGTTGAGAAGATAAAATACAATTTATGCCGATTAAAATATTCCCGTCGCCATCATCATACCGAACTATACAGAAAAGAGGCATAAGGTGGCGTTTTTAGGTGTCCTGTCATTTATAACTACAGGGATACATAGGTGTCAATGGAAAACTGGCAAACCACAGTGACATGAAGTTTAATGAGGATTTTTAATTAATTAATAATAATAAAAAAAATTGTATAAATACCACAAATTTATGTCACATAGTATAACCCGAGGTACTTCATGTTTTCATATCAAGGAACATTTTAAAGTAGTGAGCAGCATGAAGCTTATGGTATGCCAACTCTGCAAATCCCTTTTCAGTTTGACAAAGCATCCGTTTTCTATTTGTCCTGATAGCCTACTTTTAATGGTAAAAAAACGACACTTCTCTTGATCAATTTCCGGGTCATTTTGACACGGAAACCCTGGACCAAGTGCCATTTTAACCCGTGAAAGTGTCGTCTATTACCCTGAATGTATTAAGCCAATCAAGCTGTCGTTGATTGAGGAAGCATTTTCATTTTTTTCCAATTCTACTCCAACTTTATTTGTAACTTCGATGTTCTGCTTCAAGTCGTCCTTGGCTAAGGTGTTATAGTTATTACAATTCATGGCTTCCCACGCACAGGGCTTGGCAACCAGTCGACAAATAATATGCACAGTCGACGTGAATAATATTACTATACCTCATAAATATTCATCAGGCACCCGTGGCATTTTATTGGTCCATTCAAGCAACTCAACCGTGTGAAAGTTTTTATTACTATACCTCATACATATTCATGATCGAGAGCCGAACTCTCACTAGTCAATTCGCCATCACGTGCCAGATGTTATTCTTGCTGTATACCAAACGCGCGGGCGCGGATTCTCGCACAGGGTATACGCATGCGTAGTAGACTGTACGTCCCACGGGTTAATTACCCTGTGACAGTCTACTACGCATGCGCTTTACAAAGCACTCGAGGTACAACCTCGTCCCCAGTACTTACTTTATTTCCAACCTCGTTTCCAATAGTAAGCCCTGCATAACAAACTTTCTTCCTGTATCCTGATTCGGTACTGCAATTGGCTAGTAATGGATTTTTATCATGTACTTGGTGTTGTTATTCACAATGTGCAGTACATGTTTTCGTGATCATTCGTCCACACCTTCTCGAAAATACTCATTTCCTTTCCAGTTTGTTCTTATTATTACGAAATGTGATACTGTATGTTGTCTCGATGAGATCGTAACAGTTTAATTACAAAAATCGTGTTTTTGTAACTCACGCCGTGCTCGCGCTGCGACGAATTGACTCAATTTTACCCCAGACACCGCATACAAAAACAAACGCTAATGTAACGCATATCCAAGGCACCAGACTATTCCTTATTTGCATACGTGTTGAAAATTTTGCACAAGGCAGATGATCCAATACTAAGGTGAGAGAGCAGGTAGAGATGGGCGCATACTGTTCGCCACCCTGGGGACGAGGTTGCTCGAGGTACTGCCGCACAGGTGTAGCTCCCCTCGGTATTGAAAGTTGACAAACTAGTTTGTCAACTTGCAATACCTCAGGGAGGTCCTTCAGCACTCTCAGACGGATAAAAACGTACCTGCGATCAACGATGAAGCAAGCACGTCTAAACAATTTGATGATCGCAGACATGAACAAGGAGGAAATGGATGCTATCAACCTCAAAATGGTGGCCAGTATATTCGTACAAGGACATCACAACCGAATGGCCCTCTTTGCTTTGCTCAAATAATTTCACGTAAGTGTAAAAAAAAAAACAGTGTAAAACCAATATAAATAATCATGTTGTGACAATGTTCTGCCATGAAGAGCGTCACCTATTATTTCATGATAGTGAATATCTATGTGCGCCCACTTTGAACAGTACGAAAATTATGTCCCCGTTCCCTTTTGATCTGTAAAAAAACCTGTCTACCTCTCAGCAAAGATATATCGAATGCCCTTTTTCACGTCTACCCCCCCCCCCAAATAAAAATGAGCTTGCTATGCCTATGGTGTGTCCGTTATTTACTACAAGTTGCTACAATATCATTATAGTGTAGAATAACTAGAAAAATACACTGTACGAATACATAAGTTGACCAACAAACAGAATAAAGAGGGGACAAACAGAACAAAATGAAAATACAGATCTATAGATGAATTAGAGAACAAAGTTATAGGAATTGAAGAAAAGCATTTTACCAAAGGCATACACTATTGATTGAGACAAGAAATTTCACAAATTCTGGATTTTTCACAAATTCTGGAGTCTGCATTTCACAAAATGCAGACCAGAAAAATCACTTCAAAGCGAACGTAGAAACGAAAATTGAAATGAATATAACAATGTCACATCCATGTCATACATAGGCACATGTCTAATCTACCAGCTGGCTTGAACAAGCAAACCAAAGCGTATGGGCTGAATTCAGGGCCATGTCCCATAATATGGCAACACTCATCAATACAGTGCCTTCAGTGGGATTTGATTGTCATTGTGGCAATTTGAATTTCACAGGAACACTCAGGAACATAAAAAATTCCACCTTAAGATAGCGGAGCTTTTGAAAACAGTTTGAGATGTCATCGTCAAGTTTCAGACTTCAAACTACCTATGGCCAAAATGTACCAGTTAAAGGTTCATTTGAAGCAACAACAGTGCTCAAAATCTAAAGATGGGTGCTAAGCAACTAACCTGATGAACTTATAGCTCAATGAATTCTGTATATTCCAAGTAAAGAATTTTCTAGGGTCTCAATTGCAATTCAAAAAGTGCAGAGACATGTCTTGAATTGTGCCCGAAATCGGCATCCGGGACACATTCTCATTCAGCCGATAGCAGCTACGGGATGTCACACACTGAACAGACGAAAAGTAGGATTTGCGTGTGTGGGCATCATTTCAACACTTGCACACACCCATTCACGGATTCGCCAAATTACAAACCAACTACGAATGAAAATTTCCAAAAATGGGTCAGTTGACACATCTTTGGAAATGGCCTTCTTTCATTGTTTTCTTCAAAATGACAGCATGCCAGAAAGAATAAATTCACAGGAAGAGTATTGCCATTATTAACTTCATACTGAGTTAGCTTTTTAAGAATAATTTGGTCAGTTACTTTTTGGAAAGCTGCAAATGCTCTACTGTACCTTTAAGGCTGGCATAAATGAAGCACTATGCGCATTTCCGGAGCTAAGTACCCGTATGAGCATTTCATTTCAAAACCTTTAGGTATCACCATCAGCAATTTGTTTTCAATTCAAGATAGAAAACACCACCAACGTCCCCACTTCTATAGATATTGAGTCTCATATTATCACAGGCCAGACTGTTACACACGCCAATTTCCCCAAGTTTGAAATGGATATTTCAGTTCAATTCAAATACTTCTCTGAAGTACATGAATGCAGAAATTAAAACAAAAACTGTAAAGTTAATAATTCTGTAACTTTATCATACCTGGGCTCAGAGCTTCTACCAAATGACGCAGCGATAATTCATATACCCCGGTCACACGACTGCAACCAAAAACATAACAATTACAGTGTAATTTACAAAATAAATGTTGAGTCCAAATAACATTAAATGATTTTCACTTGTCAAAGACAATTCGCTTTCTGACATATGCATGCCTTGAATGGCTATTGGCAATTTAACATATTCAATGGAAATTTACTTTCATTTATTAATTTAACATTGTTTGTGTTAATTTCAGTTTCAAGTTCATTCCACGGTACTTCATTGAAGTGCGCCATAATTCATGAATGCAACATTCGAATCCATCATAGTTTTCAAAAATTGGTGATGATTGAAAAATCATTTTGGGGGGGGGGGGGGAAGGGGGGACATTTATTTATTTTGGAGGGGGGGGAGGGGGCATATTACCTGTCAGATGCCTTGTAGTAGCCACTACCGAAGAGGGCACGCAGTGAGCGAGCTGGGCTGATACGAGCATCATGCTCATACATCTGTAGACAGATGTCTTTGGTTATACAGGCAGACTGGGTGCAATTATCCAGCTGGAAAACAGAGAACAAAAACAAACAAATGTTAGTCTGGTACCTTGACTATCCAAGGTTATGTCAGGCCGTGTCTGAAATGGGCTTTGAGAGCTAATGCTCTGTCTGTTGTCAGCATAATCCCATGTAGTCATAATGGGCGAGGACCTAGGCAATAGTTCTAGACAATAATCCAGACACGGCCTTACTCAAAATCTGAAGCCAATTGCTTACAGCCTGTAATCCCTTTTTTCTGATATTGGCATCACTAACGGGTGCTGTGGTTCAAATTTTACGGTGTTCGACTTGTGTGCCATGGTCTGTGGGTTCTAACCCCGATGGGGAAAAAACAGTCTACTAATTTGACATCCATATTGATTTTGCACACCATGCAGATTCACAGAAATTTCCACAAATGTGTCACTTGACACGTTTGGAAATTTATAGCATGTGAGAAGGTTGTTACCCATTCGTGAATCCCTTAATTGCAAACCAAATAAAAGTTAGAGCACATGGGGGTTTTACAGATTTTTTTAAAAATGTGTCACATGACACATTTTTGGGAAATAATCTTTTGTTTTCTTCAAATTGACAGCATGCCAGAAGGTTGTCAACCATTCGTGGATTCCCCAGTTGCAAACCAAGTACAAATAAGAACGCATTGGGGAGGGTAGGGGGTTGGATTCATAGAAATTTCCAAAAATGTGTCACTTGAGACATGTTTCGAAATTGACATCACGCAAGGTTGTCACCCATTTGTGGATCCCCCAATTGCAATCCAAGTACAAATTAGAATGCATGGGGGAGGGGCGGATTCGCAGAAATTCCCCAAAAGAAGTTCCGCCACTGAGGCCATGGGTAATGCCAGTGGGACTTACAAATGTGGGATGATTTTGCACATCGTGATATATACATCTTCTTCCTTGGCATCCGTACTGCTAATTGGACACTGCAAATAGCAGCTCTGAAAATCATGGCACCACATTAAAGGTAGAGTAGATCATTGACCATTTGCAATTTGTGCATTTTTTATTTCATTTCAACCAGCAAACTAGTGCTCAAAATCTAAACAAGGATGCTTAATAATTAACCTGATGAAGTTTTGGCTCTATGAATGCTCTATATTTCAAGAAAACTGAACAAACATAACCACAATATTCTGAATCTCAAATTCCAAAGTTGCCCAGTCATATTTTAAATTGCGCCCTCTCATGACACATTGCCCAAATCAGCATTTGGGACATGATTCTCATTCAGCCGGTTTCACCCATTTATGTATTGAATTAAATTGGATGCAGGTACGTCAGCGGGCCGAGTACTTTAAAAACATCCTGACGTACAAGCGCGTTCATGGCCTGGCTCCAGAGTATTTGTCGAGTGGAATACAATTTCAAATGAACACTCACTCATACAATACCATATCCAATACTGGTAACAACATCTCTCACTCCGCTGTAAGAACCGAAACTGGCAAACGTTCCTTCAAGTTCTCTGGGGCCAGGTCATGGAATGAACTTCCACCTGCCATTAAAAGCTTGCCAACTATCATGAGTTTTAAAAAGCATGTCAAGCAGCACATTTTAAATTCAAATAATCTGTAATATACAATAAGCTCCTTTTATGGCAAATTTGGTGTTAATTTTGATGTATTTTGAATTGGATTTAATTTCCCATTGTTGATTTTAATGTATTTTGCTTTGTTTTAATTTCTTACTTGTTTTATTTTTGGTGCTATAATTTCATAATTCTTAATTGATATATTAGATGTACGTTTATCTTTATAATTGTTATATAATAATTCTGTACTGAGGGCCCCCATGCAAAGCAGTGCTGTGCACTGATTGGAGTTTAGCCTCATTAAATATGACATAAATAAAATAAACAAATTGAATACATGGGGAAGGGGCGGATTCACAGAAATTTCCAAAAATGTGTCACTTGACAAACGTTTAGAAATTGGCAGCATGCGTGAAGGTTGTCACCCATTTGTGGATTCCCCAATAGGTCTTGCTAAAAAAGACAGACCAGCCGCGTGCTTCGGCATTTGGAGCACCAATTGCACAATGCGCATCAGCCGCGTCGAAATTCGAACAAATTTCAAGCAACAAGTGCATGTGTTTGGAACATTTTCAACACTGCGCAATGCGTGATATATTGCGTAAAATACGCAGTTGCAGCTCTCCTACAGATTCAGATGTCATTGAGCAAGCCCTATTGCAAACCAAGTACAAATAAGAATGCATGGGAGGGGGACCCGATTCACAGAAATTTCCAAAAATGTGTCACATGACACATCTTTGGAAAGGATCTTTTGTTTTCTTCAAATTGACAGCATGCCAGAAGGTTGTCAACTATTTGTGAATTAAGTACAAATTAGAACACATTGGGAGGGGTGCAGACTCACAGAAATTTCCAAAAATGTGTCACTTGACACATGTTTGGAAATTGACATCATGCAAGGTTGTCACTAGTCCCTGAATCCCCCAAATTGCCAACCAAGCACAAATTAGAATGCATAAGGGAGGGCAGGATTCACAGACATTTCCAACAATGTGTCACTTGACATGTTTTTGGAAATTTATAGCATGTGAGAAGGTTGTTACCCATTCGTGAATCCCTTAATTGCAAACCAAGTGCAAATGAGAGCACATGGGGGAGAAATTTCAAAAAGTGTGTCACATGACACATCTTTGGAAAGGATCTTTTGTTTTCTTCAAATTGACAGCATGCCAGAAGGTTGTCAACCATTCGTGGATTCCCCAGTTACAAACTAAGTACAAATAAGAACGCATTGGGGAGGGTAGGGGGTTGGATTCTTAGAAATTTCCAAAAATGTGTCACTTGACACATGTTTCGAAATTGACATCACGCAAGGTTGTCACCCATTCATGGACCCCCCAATTGCAATCCAAGTACAAATTAGAATGTAAGGGGGAGGGGCAGATTCATAGAAATTCCCCAAAAGAAGTTCCGCCACTGAGGCCATCGGCAATGCCAGTGGGACATACAATATGTGGGATGATTTTGCACATCGTGATGGTCCGATATAAACAGCTTGTTCTTCGTTGGCATCCATACTGCGAATTGGACACTGCGAATAGCAGCTCTGAAAATCATGGCACCACTTTAAAGGTAGAGTAGATTATTGATCATTTGTAATTTGTGCATTTTTTTATTTCATTTCAACCAGCAAACTAGTGCTCAAAATCTAAACAAGGATGCTTAACCCCATGGGCCCGGGAAGCGATCATGGCAGCGGCCGCTAGTCCTCATTGAAATGCAGTTGCCAGCTGTGGTATGCCATGGCACACGGCTAGTGGGTAGTTCCACAGCTGCTGCTGCTTTTGTGCAGTCCCGCTACCACACAAAGGCTGTGCAGTCATGCGGGCCACTTGCTCTATGTGTGGAGGAATGTCCCCATTATAACCCGTGCTTAAGGGGTTAATAACTAACCTGATGAAGTTTTGGCTCTATGAATGCTCTATACATGTATTTCAAGAAAACTGAACAAACATAACCACAATATTCTGAATCTCAAATGCCAAAGTTGCCGGGTCATATTTTGAATTGTGCCCTCTCATGACACATTCCCCAAATCAGCATTGGGACATGATTCTCATTCAGCTGGTTTCACCCATTTGTGGATTCTCTAATTGAAAACCAAGAACAAATTGGAACAAATTTGTTTTGTTTTTTTTGGGGGGGGAAGAGAATTCACAGAAGTTTTTAAAAAATGTACCACTTGACACATCTATCATGCTGTTAATCTAAATTAACAGCATGCGAGGTTTTGACCCATTCTTGGATCCCAAATTGCAAACCAAGTACAAATTAGAAGCATGGGGGAGGAGCCAATTCATTTTCAAAAATGTGTCACTTGACACATGTTTGGAAATTGATAGCATGCGAGAAGGTTGCCACCCATTCGTGAATCCCCCAATTGCAAACCAAGTTCAAATAAGAACACATGGGGGGATTTACATAAATATCCAAAAATGTGTCACATGACACATCTTTGGAAATGATCTTTTGCTTCCTTCAAATTGACAGCATGCCAGAAGGTTGTCAACCATTCGTGGATCCCCAAATTGCAAACCAAGTACAAATTAGAATGCATAGGGGAGGGGCGGATTCACAGAAATTTCCCAAAATGTGTCACTTGACAAACGTTTGGAAATTAGCATCATGCAAGAAGGTTGTCACCCATTTGTGGATTCCCCAACAGGTCTTTCTCAAATGAAGTTATTTCCTACAGACCAGCCGCGTGCATCGGTATTTTGAGCATCCAATTGCATAACGCGCATTGGTCGCGTCGAAATTTGAACACATTTCAAGCAACAAGCGCACTTGTTTGGAACATTTTCAACAGTTTCAGCTCTCCTACAGATTTGGACATCATTGAGAGAGCCCTATTGCAAACCAAGTACAAATAAGAATGCGGGGGGGGGGGGGGGCCTGATTCACAGAAATTTCCAAAAATGTGTCACAAGACACATCTTTGGAAAGGATCTTCTTTTGTTTTCTGCAAATTGACAGCATGCCAGAAGGTTGTCAACCATTTGTGAATTAAGTACAAATTAGAACGCATTTCACACATGTTTGGAAATTGACATCATGCGAGGTTGTCACCCATTCGTGGATCCCCAATTGCAATCTAAGTACAAATTAGAATGCATGGGGAGGGGCAGATTCACAGAAATTCCCAAAAATGAAGTTCCGCATGGCCATGTGCAACGCCAGTGGGACTTACAAAACGTGGAATGATCTTGCACATCGTGATGGTCTGATATACATCTCATTCTTTGTTGGCATCCATACTGCTTATTGGACACTGCGAATAGCAGCTCTGAAAATCATGGCACCACTCTTCCATTCATTTGACCGCAGCACCTATGAGACTTATTCCAAGGCATCTGTCAGACATGCTAGATTCATCACTCCTGACACATCTTCAAAAGGGAAGATTTGTGGCAAACATCCATGGCAAAGAGAAACACCACAAAGCCTTGGATGAAAACCAC